ATGTGATGACCCCTCAACAGAGAATCTATGCTAATAGCCATCATCAAAAAAACTGAAAGATCTGGTGTGGCACTCCCAGTCTGTAAGACCAGAAGGTCAACATTCCTAACCCCCTCCCCAAGAACCCACCAGCCTATATAACTGCTGTAAGACCTTGTGCCCCCTAAGATGTTTTTTTTCAGACATTAATTGGCCATCTTCCCTCTTGCTAGCAAGCTGTAATAAAAAAAGTCCTTTTTCTCCTACCACCTTGCCTCTTGACTATTGGCATGTCTTGCAGCGAGCAGAAGGCCCCACGCTGGGCGGTAACAAGTTCAGTGGATAATTTACATAAATAGACAATTATAAGATTGGATAAAAATATCAGTGATAGAGGGATGGTCAGGATAGTCAGAAGAGGGAACTGAACCAGCACAAAGAGGGTGAGAAAAACAAAGAGGTGAGAGAGCAAGGAGAGAGGGTCAGGGCTGAAGCTCTCTGTCCACTTAGACCTCATGGCATTTATAAAGGGCCAGTCATCTATTTATTCCATCAAAATGTGTTGGATGTCTACTATGTTCAAACCACTGTGCCTCGCCTGGAATATACAAAGATGAGTTTGGTATCTTCAAGACCAAATAGGGTCATGAACTTGTAAGGTTGGCCAGCAAACTTCCAAACTCAAGTCCCTGATTAGTTAAGCCACCCAATTTCAAAGCAATGAGAATTTGTTTCACAGTTCCTTCTCTCTTCTTTGGGGACATAGCAAGTAAGATTATTGTTGTACAAACTTGCTGTGATTCTGAGCCACAAAGTTACTTGGCAGTGGCCTCCCTTGTCAAGCCTGGCACACATTTCCACCTTCAGAGTGCCCCAGTGTCCTTGGAATGGGCAGGTGGCATTTGTTCTTACACAAGTCACTCAGCCACCCTGCTCAAGTAGAGCCAACAGGTGCTGGGTCCTTTCATCTTTCAGGATACAACCTTGGCCTTCTGTGGCCAGTTAATCAGGAGTTGGTGAGTAGCTGCCCAAGAATACATTCTGGAAGAAATCAGTGGTCAGAGTGGAGTGGGGGCACAGGGTTCAGCCCAGCAGGGGGCTTCTCTTTCACACGCAGTCTCCAGCTACTCTCTGGTAGCAGAGGCAGATAAGGGACACCATAAACTCCACAAGTAAATCATCTCTCCTTTCTGGGCCTGTGTAGTTCTCCAGAGACTGGTGGGTTTTTTTTCTGTAAGGAGGGGTTGGTGATATAGTAGAGTGGCTTTATATACACACTCAACATGTAACAACTTTGGCACCTAATTCTCCACTCCAATCCTCATTCAGTATTTCAAGGAAATGCTGCCCACAGGTTTAGTAAAGTGAGGATTAAGAATTAACTAGTGGATTTAGCAATTTGGTCATTGGTGACCTTGACAACAGTAGTTTCAGTGGAGTGACAGGGGCCCAAACTGATTGGAATGGGTTCAAGAGATTACAGGCAACTCTTCCGAGGAGCAAAAATGGAGCATAGAATTGAAACAGAGCTGGAGGAAGATCTTGGGTTAAGAGTGAATTTCTTTAAGATAGAGGAAATCACAGTGTACTTGTGTGCTGGTTGGAATGATCCAGTAGAGGCAAAACTGATGATCTAATTAAGAGGGGGAATATGGCTAGAGAGATGTCCTTGAACAGGAAAGGGGACAAGGAACTTTTAGTGATGCAGTAGAGCTGTGTAGGGGAGGAAAAAGTTTTCCTTGACCCTCTTAGGGTCTCTGGCTGGGTCTGAAAATTAAACTGACAAGGACAGATTAACAGCAGAAAAGCATACACATTTACTTACGGTAAGTTTTATGTGACATGGGAGCTTTCATGAGGAAATGAAGACCTGAAGAAACGGTTAAAGCTGAGTGTTTTTATGCTAGGTTTGATGAAGAGTGGACAGTTGTGGAGAAATATGATGGGACAAAGGGTATGAGGTACTTGCAGCAAACTGGGGGAAACTTGGCAAGGCTTCTTGTTCAGATTCTTCTCAGTGACTCTTCATTCTGGAGATAAGGATGCTCTTTTCCTCCAGGTATAGACAGGGCACCCCTCACAAGAGGGTCTTATGACCTCCTTCAGGGGAGAAGGGCTGGGGGAGGTCAGAGAGACCTGTCTGCTTCTGCTGTTTCTCAGACTTCTTCACCTTAAAATATTCCATATGCCAAGGTACCATATTCTGGGGTACTGTGTTCTGAACCCCGTCAGCTGGTTATTAAACACAGCTATTATTAAATATTAAATTACATAAATTTACAATTAAACTATATTAAAAAGGGTAATAAGCATTCAGAACTCATTCCTTCCTCATTACTTTACTACGTTTGCCATTATCTATGCTCTTGTGGCTATGTCTATTGCACGTGGATGGTGGAAATGCCAACAATGGTGCTCCTGCGCGTCTCTCCCCAACCCCACGTTGAGCGACACCACGTTGGTAGTTTGAAATTTGCTGTGGTGGGAGTATTTACACCACAGAAATCGCAACCATTAGAAATCAGGGCCTTGTTTTGGTTTGTGTTTTAAAGCAGAGCTTGTTTGTTAACCATTTGCCAGCCCACCACTGGACCCAGTGGACAAAGGGAGAGACTGGCCCTAAACTAAGCACTGACAGTTCATCCACAAGAACAGGAGAGAAGGCAGGGCATTTGGATAGGTGGGTAGAGAGATGCAGTGGAGAGACGTTTCCTATTTACTAAGTGAAAAAGGAAGCAAGGAAACCACCTGAGAACAAGGCTGGGAAGGGAGGTGTTGGAGGTTTGGGGTGGGAGGAGAGTGGGACAGTAAGTGGATTAGAGAAATGTAGTGTTTTTGTCTGGCACCATTAAAAGGCCGGAGGCTAGTGGTCATGAATTTAAAAAGAGGCCTGATATAATGGGTGTATATTTTCCTCCAGTCTGTTTCAGTGGCTTAGGTGATACAGTGAGTTAGTGGAGAGCTGGATTTTCCAAGGCTAGGGTTTTGCCAGACCATGCAAAAGTCACCACTTCAGAGACCTTCTTTATTCATCCTAGCTAAAATCATGCTTTAACCCACTATCCTGCTTATTTCCCTATTTTGTTTATTTGATGTGAAATAGTTACCCCAGCCCCTGGCCCCATAAGACATTAACCACAACCCTGCTCAGGACAAGCCTAACACACTCTTGAGCTTACAGGAAACCACAAAGAGAGGAAGGAGGAGACGGCTGAGACATATAGTTGAAACCAGACAGAATCAGGTGAGGGCAACAGGGCAGTCTGACTTGACCTGACATAGACCCCGCAGCTCATTATACGCTCATTGTAATACGTTTCCATGCTACATAATACACCCACCAGCACCATGACAGTTTACAACTGCCACGGCAATGGCAGGATATGACTAAATAAGGAAAGAAAAGAGGTGGCCCCCTTGATCCCCCTGAAAGCCTGCCCCGTTCCCCGAATATTCCTCCCCTTCATTATCTCGACCCCTTATAACAGCTGCTTACTCGACCCAAGAGCTGAGAAGTTGATTTGTGAACCTGGTTCCCATTTCTCCATTCTTTGGCCATTGAATAAAAGCTTGTGCTGCTGAACGCTCAGCTTGGGTTTCATTTCAAATCCATGATATCGAACAGAAAAGAACCCTCTGGAGAGGGGACAGATTGTGAGTACGAGGCGCACCCATGGGTCTCTCCTCAGAGCGCCTCTGAATGTGGGTTGGAGTCCCACCCAAGTGGAGTGAATTTGGTAATAAAATCACCCAGCTCACTCATCCTACATGACAGCAGGCATTGCGCTTTACTTACTGCTGAATCCAGCGCTACCACAGTGCTCGGCACACAGTAGGTGCTCAGTAAATGATACGTTGAATAACACTGAAGATATGGATACATTTGCTCTTTCTCATAAAATCCAGAGTCAAGTGAAGAATGCTCAAGATCCTTTTGGTACCCCTTTGTTCCTTGCTCCGTGGTGTTTAAACTTGAATGAGCACAGGAATTTCCCTATGGAGTCAGAGACGCTAAACCACGCCTCTTCATTTCCTGGACACTCCTAGGTGATAGGGGTGTCAACGCAAAATAACCAATAATCATTCTATAGATAAGAGAAATAAGGTGAGTTTACTTGAGCCAGAGTGAGGACATGGGAAGACCTTAGAAAGCGTTCGAAGAAGCATGGTTTTCAGCACAGTCTTATATCTTTTTAGAACAAAGAACATACATTAAACACACCCAGGATACATTTTCATCAAAGTTTCAAAGAGGTATCCAGTTGCAAATTAGCAGGTCAATGTGACCGTGATGTCAAGAAAGGGACTAATCCGGGCATTACCAATAGGGCATTTCCAATAGGGCTTAGGAGGGGAAGCACGTGTTCTTACCTTAAGAAAGCGTATCCTTTACTTCAGTGGTCAAGTAGAAGTACAACGTATGTTTGATAGGCCATAAGTCAGGCATTTTAGTTCAAGCCAAATCAGTTTTGAACCTGAAGAGTTACCCCATATACCTCAATGTGAGAATCTCTTGTCAGGGGCAACTTTTACTGTACTTGAGACCCAGCCTCAGAGGCAGCTGCCTGGTCGTGTGAGTATGTGGTTTTGGCCTTTGTCACACCAGACTCAGCAACATGGAAGAAGCTTATATTACAACTCCTAGACTTAGAGGGCGGGTAGTTTACACATTTATTATTACTTGTCTTAGCGCTGCCAAGAGCGGCTTAAAGGCTCACTCCGTGGCTGCAGGCGAGATGAAGACAGAAAAGCACAAGTCCCCAGGTCCAAGTCTCCAGGGCGTGGCGTGGCGGCTCTCGGCCACAGACATTGCGGTCTCCAGACGCGCCGGGGCCGCAGACGGCCCGGGCCAGGGCGCGCAGGACCCAGTGCAGGGGCATCCCTGCCGGGGCGCGCCTCCCCCGCTCCCGCGCCCCGCCGCCCACACAGGACGTCGGCGGAAGGGGGCGGGGGCGTGGCCGACTGTCTGTTCTCCAAGCGGCCAATAAAGTTTCGGAAGTTTGAAAAAGGAGGAGAAAAAACCCCGCGCCTCTTTGGCCGCCTGGGTGTGGACGCCTGCGGCCCGGGGCAGAGCTGGGGCGGCGCGGTGCGGCGCTGGCGGAGGCGCGGCGGGCGCGCGGGCATGGGGGTCACGGTGGACGTGCACCAGGTGTACAAGTACCCCTTCGAGCAGGTGGTCGCCAGCTACCTCCGAAAGGTACCCGCCCCGCCCTGGCCCGGCCGGGGCTCGCGTCCTCCCGCGCTGCCTCCGCCGGCCCGGCCGTCTGCAGCTCTCTCCTCCCCTCTTCCCTCCTCTCCTCCGCTCTCCTCTCCTCTGCCCACGCGGAAGTCCGCACCGACCAGCTCTCCCTCCAGCTGCGGGTTTCGCCCCAGGGATGTGCGGGGTGAGGGTGGAAGTGGATTTCCTCCAAGGCTCCCCTCCACGATGAAGGAGAAGGCTCCATGCGAGGCATCGCGTTCACATCCTGCCCCACCTGAAGGGAGAGGGTTTTGGGGGAGGGTCGCGGGGAACCCAAGTTCTGGAGCCCTGTTGAGGTTGCAGATGACTTGGTAATCGTTCTAGTACGTCATTGACCCCTTAAAAGCTAGTGGGAGGCGTTGAAGCCATCATCCTAGTTTACTCGGCATTATTGTTGCACCGCCTCACCACTGTCTCTTTAATTAAACAGCTGTGGGACTTTGGGCAGATTGCTTACCCTCTCTGTGCCTTAGTTTTGTAATCTGTGAAATGGGGAAAATAACAGTACCAACTCAAAGGGTTATTGTGAGGATTCAAATGAGATAATTCCTGTAAAGTGCTTATCACAGTGACCAATGCTTAGCGCTCTAAACTGTGGTTTGTACTACTACAGCTGTGCACCCTGGCCTCAGTATTCAGGGACCCTCTTTATCTCAAAGGCTCCTCCTAGGACTGTGGCTCGTGGTAGTAGGAGAAGGGGAAATTTCTTTGGAAAATCGAAAGCACCCAGGCCTGGGAGGTGGGACCCTCGGACTCTAGTCTGGCTCTGCTATTAGTTCACTGATGATCTTGCTCCAAGGTCATCTTCTCTTGAGGCCTCAGTTTCTGCATGTCTAAGATAAGAGTATTGTATCAGAAGGTCTTTTAGTTCCCCTTCAGCTTTCACATTCTTAAGCAAGATTTGCAAGAATTGTCATTTGCCTTAGGCAGGAGCCACTGAGCAATGCACTTCGTATGCAACCCAGAAGCCAAACTGAGGCAGATGTTGGGGAAGGAAGGTACTTATTTAGGTGATAAGACCTGACCTCCATTAGAGGAGGTGATGCATTTGGGGGCCCAGGTCACAAAGGAGTGAGTAGGACTTTGGTTAACATGGTGTTGCCATGGAGGCCTATTTTGGGGGGAATGTTGGCTTGCTGAATTTTTCAATGATCTCCAGTATCTAGAATAGTGCCTGGCACCCACTACATGCTCAAGATAAATCTGATGAATGATGAAGGAATAAATCAATGAAAGAATGAGTTACGGATCTGGTGTAGACTTTGCCTTAGGCCACGCTTCTGGGCCCAGAAAAGGACCAGCCAACACTCCATTTTTTGTTAGGTATGGCACTTTGGAATGTGGATGCTCTAATGCCACTGGTCTTTTAGAAAGCCTTTCTGGGTTGTCCTCATAGAGAGGCGATCTCTGGCTTCTCCGAACTCGAGGGGCGGTGTGTCCAGGCCTCACTGTCTTCTACAGTGTTGGAGAGTTATTTCTGCATGTGTCTTTTTCCCTCATTAGACTCGAAGCTTCTTCAGGGCGGGACTCAGTCCTGCAGAAGCGTGTAGCACAGTGCCAGGCTGTCATTCAGAGAGTACTTGGCATGTGGCAGCTTCTGGGCTAAATGCTTTTCTTTCATTCAATAGGTCTTTATAGATAACTTTTCTTCTGTATGCCAAGCTCTGTGCTAGGTACCAGAAAAACATTGAAGGGCACAACAGAGGCCCTCTTCCCATGGAGCTGATGGTCTCTAGTGGGTGAGACCGACATTGATAAATGATCAACAAATGAACACGTAATTCCGATTGATCATGTGTACTTACACAGGGAAAGTTCACGGTGCTGTGACTGAAAACAGCAGGGAGGCCTGCTGTGGTCGTTAGGAAAGGCATCGCTGAAGAAGTGGCATTTGTGAAATGATGGCTGAAGCGTGAATAGGAGTCTCCCAGGAAGTGCTTTCCATATATCATGTTTACTCCTCCCGGCAGCCTCAGGAAGTAGTTATGATTGACTTCCATTTCACAGCCTGAAGAAACTGAGAATCAGAGATGGTTAAGCAACTTTTCCAAGTGCCAAGAGCTAACAGGTGGAGAGCCAGGATTTCAAAACATCTAAATCCAAAGCCCACACCCCAATCACCAGGCTGTGCTGCTTTGCACATAATAGGCACTCAGATGATTATGGAGGGAATACAGTGTTTCAGAATCACCTTTACTGTGCTCTTTATCCAATCTCAGATCCTTTTTGTCATCATTGTGGACCCATTGTGCCTGATACAAGGGTATAGCTTTGATGTGTGGTAGGGTGAGAACATAACCGTGTTTCAGTTGTCTACTGCCATGTAACAAATCACCCCAAAGCTTAGTGGCTTAAACCAGTGATAGACTTTTAATTCTCACAATTCTGTGGGTTGGCTGAGTGGTTTTTATGTGCCGTGTGTTATAGCTGAGGTCACTTATGTAGCTGCATTCAGTTGGGATCTGGTATAATTCTTATAAAATACTTAGTAAATGGGCCGGCCCCGTGGCTTAGCGGTTAAGTGCACGCACTCTGCTACTGGCGGCCCGGGTTCGGATCCCGGGTGCGCATCGACGCACCACTTGTCTGGCTCTGCTGAGGCTGCGTCCCACATGCAGCAACTAGAAGGATGTGCAGCTATGACATACAACTATCTACTGGGGCTTTGGGGGAAAAAAAAGGAGGAGGATTGGCAATAGATTTTAGCCCAGAGCCGGTTTTCCTCAGAAAAAAAAAAAAAAGAGAAGGATTAGCATGGATGTTAGCTCAGGGCTGGTCTTCCTCAAAAAAAAAAAAAAAAAAACTTAGTAAAGTGCCTGACACATAGTGAATAAGGACTGAGGAGGATATTTTGGAAGGTAGGGCTGGAGAAAGTGTAGGTGACTGTTTGCAGAGTCAAGGCCTAGTGGTGGGACTGTTAACACCATGGACAACACTACGCTTCCATTCTTTCCACTCACAAAGCAGTCCTTCAGAGATCCCTGGGAAGGGCTATGTGACTATTTCTAAGAAGTCAATAGATCCATTTGCTGTGATAATTTTCACCAAAGTTATTCAAAGTCATGACCTGGGAGTCGGTAGACCTGGATTCCAATCATTGTGCTTTCCCCATTAAAAGTAGTTTTGGGGGGCCTTGGGAAACAGTTTTCACCAGCCTGTGCTGTGCCCTTGTGCAATTAGAGAGAGACATCATCTGGGGGCCCACTCTATGAGCTCATGGTAAATAGGGCTAGTGGAAAGTAAATGGGGCTACTTATGCAAATGAGAGAAAGGTACTCCTTTCTCTAGGTGGATGTAGCCTCGTGCCCACTGGCCTGCTTGACTGGGAGTCTTTGTGCAGTGAGCAGCATGTACAACTGTATAAGACAACCCTACTGTCTTAATTTCTCATCTGTGAAATGGTAATGCTATGTACCCCACCTGTCTCCAGGGATTGTTGTAAGTATCAAATGTGTAAGTTTGACAAGTATAAGCTTTTTATAAGCCTAAGGTAGTAAGAATGATCTTTTCGGCAAAATACACTTTTATTTTTCTTTTAGTCTGTATGTATTTTTTTCAAAGGAAAGCACTTGGCAGAAGGGACAATCATGAAGATCTCTGGGAAACATTTAATCTGATTTTGCACAATGGTATGTTTGAAGCCACTTCAGCACTGAGGAAGTTCTATTTTAAATAGAATCTACTGATCTATGGCTTTTAGTATGTTAGACTTGTCTTCCAAGTTATAATATACTGCTATTTTTAAAACCTGAGGAATGTTTGCGCTTCTTACACCTGCCTGTTGGATACCACAGGCAAGATATTAGCTACATGCTTTCAAAGCTAAGTGGCACCTTGAAAACAAACACAATACTCTTTGTTCATGGAATGTAGTGTTTCTCAATGAACTCTTCATGGAGGAATGCCATGAAGCCCAAAATGGTTTATTCATCAGATGCTAAAATGTACTTTCCATGAACTTTAGTGTCAATGCACTTGACAGTGTATTTTGATTTCTTTCTTTGCGTGACTCTTAGCTTTCTACCTCTCATCACTTAAAACTGTTTCCTTCCTTTTACTTAAAACCCTTTACAAAGAGAGCACAAAGGTGCATGGATGAATGTAGCTGTCTAGAAGCTCTCTGGAAGCTCACAGGGGTCTGTTTAGTGAGCTTACCTTTCAGGAGCTGGATTCAAAGACTTATTAAATTTCATCTATCTGAAATCTAAAGTCATTAAAAAGGACCCAGAGAGCCGTTGTGTTAACTAGATTTTCTTATTTATTCTCAAATGAGGCCAGAGAAGTTATAGTTTTTCCTACCATAGAGTTGTTCAAGTTAATTTTCTTTTTATGCTATAGGCAAAAGAGTCATTGTGAGTAGAGTGTAAGCTTCATGGGCAAAGATTTTGTTATTTGTTCCTGGTATATCCCAAGGACCCAAAGAGATCCTTGAACATAGTAGATTCTCGACAAATCCGTGTTGAATGAATGAATAAAATACAACCTTCTGTGGTTTAGCCCTATGTAATTTCAGACTGAAGTCTGTGGGGTTCAGTAACATGTCCTTATCTTGGATACTGTAATAAAATGGACAGATTAAAATAATTTCTTTGCTTCAACACAGTGGCCTTGGGTTTTATTTATTCTAGCTAGGGGCCTGATGTGCTGAACAAAATGGTTTGCGCATTTACCCTTAAACTCATAAAGGGGATTTATGAATGGCTATTTCCATTTAGAGTAGAAAGTTGATTGGGTAATTAATAATGTTTCCATTTCTGATCCTATCTTTTCTCCCTTGCAAATCTGACACTTACATGTGTGGAGCATCTCTCCTTGTGGAGGTCCTGAAATATTTGGGGTGAACCGGCATTTCCAGAATAAATGATTTGACAAACGATAGGCCTAGTTTAACATAATGGTTATTTATCTTTTTGCTAACACTTTAATAGTCTTTCTTCACTTTTATCTTCCTATCCTCA